CTGAGCTCATGAAAAGTTGACTTTTTAGAGGTTATGCTTTTACAGGACAGCGATGCTACGAATAATTATCCAATTGAACATTTTGCAGTTAAACTACCCACCAGTATGTAACATAGTTCAAATTAGCTCAACCTCAAACTGCAAAACGCAACATATGAAGCAGTAATATTGATTTAAAAGCCTCACATGTCAGGGTAAATCACTGACAGGGACTATTTTTCTATGCATTGACTACTTTTATTTTTCATACTTCCACTGCTACTTACCTGTGATCTGTGCTTTCAGTTAAATAAAGGATCTGAATGTTTCTTCCAGCACTGCACTTTATATTACAATACACCACTGTATGTTGGAAAAGCAGCAGTTTCTCATCCAACAGAACATTGTGCAAGTTATGCAGAATTTTTAAATACATTTCCACGCAATGTAGCTGAAATGTTTCATGTGTTTGCAGACTTTAGGATGTTACCCAGCATTTAAAGGTAATGGCTATGATCAGTGTTCATGCAAATTGTATTTCAGTTTAACACGAACTGGACAAACATGATCAAACAAAGTATATCTGACATATTTATGAGCTTCTTTTCTCGTAACTCTCGCTTTCTTGCCAAATATCATGACTTGTGGGTGAAGATGTGTCACACGGTTGTGCTCTAATGGCTGCAGTCACAATAAAGATGGCAAAAAGAAGCGGGTTGGCATGGCAACCACGTGTCCTTGTTCAGTGTCACAGGCGGCAGATTTACAGGGTCGGTCAGCGACATGGGAAGATATCGATACTATTCGCTGGTGTCTCTTTACTTCACTGTGATTGTATGAAACTAAAAGTGTTGCTGCATGACAGACTTTAGTTTAATCCACATTTAATATAATTTTCTATTAAACAATTAATTATTGTTCTTTTATTTACTTGGAATTTATTTGAAATTTTGAAAAACTACAAAAAACGATACAAAACGCGCTTAAAATCAGGCATCAGCGAACGTTAGTGAAGTCAGACGCAGGAACTGTCAACGAACCGCGAGATGAGCAGGAAGTGCAGTTCACGTCTCTGCATCTATTTGCCACACCTAATTGATTTTGGTTGTGTGTTGAGATGAGTCCCCACTCCCCACGGCTTCGTCTGCGTCAACCTCCTGCTAAAAGCTATGGCTTTTCCTTCACCGCGAAGCTGGAAAAATAATTAGCTGACGAAACACAGGCAGACCTCTGACCTCAACTGAATGAAACTGACGTGTGTGTTGGCTTTGTGTGTCAGTGTTCTCTCAGAGTCAGGAAGCCAGGATGAGTGATGTCACACTGAACCACACACAGCTCAGAGATAAGGACTGAGGACGCAGAGAATCACTGACAACAAAGTCAAAGACGCTGTAATGAAACCGGCGTCTTCTGGAATAAACTGTCCAGCTTGCTCGTCGTTCTGCGGCTCTCCAGCTGTGTGTTTGTGTGTGCCTGAGTGATTGCCTTGGTCAAAGCAAACAGTTGTTGCTAGGTAAAGATGGATTATACAGCAGATGAGGCGCAGACCTGTTTGCACACGGCCAGATGACCAGAGGCATCGGTTCTTATCGGCTCCGACTGGTTTAACTCACAATAACCAGCAAGCTCGCTCTGTTAGAACAACACCGTTCATCGGAATGAAAAGACTTCTCAACTGTATTGCTTTTATTGTTGTGCTCACTTGTTCTTAATTTATAGAGTTTGTCAAACATGAACTGCAGCTACACAACCTCCACTGTGTCCACTGCTCACACCGACAGCACCTTTATCCCTGGATCATTTACACACATGAAATGGGAGCATGCTGACACACTGTTTCCATTAGTAAACTACTTAAACCTCATGTAGCCAATATCACTGCCATAAATAACTGCCTGCAATCACTGTTTGACATGATCATTAATTTTTTAACAGTGAAAAACAACGTCCTTTCCTGAATTATATTTCCAAAATTTCCATATGCTGGCTTAAATTCAGTTTCGTCTCCGTTTACCAGCAGGAATAATGTTCCACCACAATGAGAAGGATCCATTAATAGGAACAGAACTGGCATTTATACCACCTATAAATTAACTCGGATGCTGTTTCACTCAGTAAATATTTGAGTTTGGAGTCAGTTTGTGCTGCGTTTTTTGATTAATTCTCCTGCACGCAACATTGTTCAATTTGAAATCTGTGCAGCTTCAATGAGTTTTATGGCTTGATGAGTGGAGCAGCCTAAAATACACCAAGATAATTGGTGTATTTTAAATGCTGCATTACTCTCTCTTTAAGAACTGCATGTACTGTATACCTTACATGTGACACATACAGTAGAAACATATGTCTGTAGCTTACATTGTGAAATGAAGTAGGTGTGTGGTGTTATATTTATATTTCATCTGTCTTGAGGTTTACAAATGACACATCTAATACTACAATTTGAATTTAATTATAATTGTTCATAGCATTAAAAATAGGCTAAAACAGTATAGTGACATTAGCCCATCCTTTATTATTAAGACCGTATATTGCATTAATTTAAATTTGTTTTAAGTACAACCAAATTAAATTGTTGGCAGCCATTACAACATTTCAGATCAGGGTATAATAGGTCACATTTTAACTTGTCATAGTATATGACAGTAGTAGTAGATTATTAACAAACCTGCCAGCATGCACTGGATGTGAGCTGACTTTCATAACTCTTCTTTCCAGTCACTTAACTAAAGGAAATTTGCTGTGTGTTTTGTGCATGCGTGAGTCATGAGTCTTTCCCGTGATAATGACGACTATGACAATAAACATAATTAGCATTTACAATCCATCCTTCGTGATCCTCATAGTAAGACGGTGTCACGGATGTACATGCGTCTCAGTGAAAGCACTGCCAGCTGTGCGCTAATGATAAGGAAAAATTAAACTAGAAACACCTTATGCAGGTACATTTACTCAGATGTACTGTTAGGGCAATTCTGAGGTGACTTAAATTAAATTTTACCTATCAGGTTGCTGATACATTTAATTGATTATAAGGCATCCCAGAAACTTTAACTCAAGTGCCTCAGAAACACAAATTTTAGGAGCGTTAGTTCTCATAACTTTTCTTTTTTTCCTCACTGAAATGCAGGCAACTAGCTGTGTGTGTTTTGTGCACATGTGAGTCATGTGTTTCTCCTGGGATACAACCGATCACAACCGTGATGTGAAACATGATGAATGTTTACGGTCATTTCAATGTACTGTAAGCCCTTATGAGATGTCACAGATATACATGTGCTTCTATAAAAACACTGGTACTGACAACTTGAGGGCAACAATCATGTTTTGTAAAGAGGCAAAATGGAACTCGAAACTCTTCCTTCACTCAAGTATTATGAGTGCAATTATGAGGTGTTTTAAACTCCATTTCACCTGTCAAGTTATTGTCTTGAAGAATCTGCGCAGCTTCTCCACGTTAAACAGATTGATCTTCTACTCAGAGTTTTAAACTGGATTCCATCTGATGACCAAACAGCTTTTCTTTTCTCCTTCTTTTTTTTTGCAAGTTTAGCAGTTTGACAGTTCCATTTGTTCCATCGCTTTCACTGTCAAAACTTTAGGTGTTAGCCATCAGGCATTAGGCAAAAAGAAAGAAAGAAAGAAAGAAAGAGAACACAGAAAGGGAAAATATTTTAAATAGTGTGTGTGCTATGGCAAATAAGTGTAAAATAGATGTAGAAAACAAGCACCTTTATAAATACTGTGAAATGCAGTTCAAGTGTCTTTTCTCTCCTGAAATTACACATCAAATGAAGTTAACTACTGCCATCATATTTTTTTTTAGCTCCACATCAGGTAATATACAGATTTTACTGGAGTGGATTCTTTGTTTTGTTTTGTTTATTCTTATCTTCTATTTTATTCATTTATTTTGCTCCTCTTCCTTTCGGCTTCATGATTTTCTTGAAAACTCCAGTTTAACCTGACATTGCCTGTAAAATTTGGATTTGTAAAATATGATGCATTACTATTCATTACCACACAGCTGTATGTAAATCTTGTTTCAGGCTGCTGCATGTGTATGAATCAGTGGTAGCATCCCAGTTATATAATATCAGATAATGTATCCCTCTCAGGAGCCTTTTACTCGCAGCTCAATAGTCTATTTTACGTTTGATCCTAGGATCCCTTTACTTGGAATTAATTTGGAATCTGTGTCCAACAAAAAAGAAATAACATGTAATGAACATCTGTTGCCTTTTTTTCTGAATATAACTAAGCAGTTTTTTTTCCCATCATCCCTGTTTGTTTTCTCCTCTTGCTGTGAATCGACTGAGGAGCTGTCCGCGGTGCTGAAACCTCTCTCTCTCTCTCTCTCTCTCTCTCTCTCTCTCTTCAGGAGCTTCATTTCCTTTCTCCTTCTCTCTTTCAGTGATAATATCCCAATGACTTCCTCATTTTAAAAACGGAGGCTGATGTGAGAAAGATGCTGCAGAACATCCACCCCCATAATGATAAACATCTTACAGGATCATATCAGATTTATTTGACTGTTGTGTTTCTTCCCGGTGTCTCCTCCTCCTCCTCCTCCTCCTCCTCCAGGGACGCACACTTGGATATTTTTAGTCATCCTCCCTCCTCCCGTCCAGACTTTCTCCCCTCCGGGACTCGAACTCACATCTAAGCTAAAAGGTAGACGCCAGACTGACGTCAGAGCAGCAGTAATTTGACGTGTGCGCACCTCCCATCGCGACCACACAACAGTCCAGCCCTCCCCATCACCACTATTTCCTCTCCTTGGCGGACCAATAACGCGCAGTTCCACATTTCCCTCCATCTCAGCCAGCGGTTTCTTCAGGGGTAGAACTGAAAAGAAAAAAAAACAAAAAAAGAGGGAGATTTCTTTTATCATCTGTACACAACCTTTCCAGGAGGACGCTATTTTTTTTATTATTTGAAGGAGGGAAGAAATCTAAGCAGTTTGTAAATAGATTCTTTTGTTTATTTATTTTTCTCATCTGGTTGAATTTCCTCTTGACATGGAAGTGAGATGTCGTCCGGCGGTGATGTACTGTGTTCTTGCCGTCCTCTGCTCCGTGGTTCCCCGCTCGCTGGAGTCTCCTTACCGGGACCGACAATACCTGAACGAGTGGGCGGTGGAGATCCCCGGTGGGCTGTCCGCTGCGGAGTCGATCGCCAGAGAGCTGGACTACGAGCTGGTCCGACAGGTAGGAACTCACGCCCTGGAGCCAAGCAGCAGTTTTTTTTGGGGGGGAAAAAAACACAAAACGCATAAATGAGCCTCAAATGAACTGATGCTGGCAGCTCTCACAGATTGATCATTCATTTGGCACAAACTGGAGCCTCATTTTAATATCAAACATCTCATTTAACAGAGACCAGAGCATCCAAAGTGAATCATGAAATGTTAATTAAGCCTGCAGTGGGCTGTGCTGTAACAGCAGGCCACACTATAGAGGTATCAATTATTCTGTTTTTGCTTTTATAAGGCCATTACGCTGGAAACTCTCTTCCCCTCCCTCCAAAAGCACCACAATGCATTTTCAGCACCCTGCTAAATTACAGGGCGAGGATTTAATCAAGCTATGACTCACTGTTTACACACTTCTGATAACCCATAACAGGGTTTTCATTTCCCCGTTCTGTACATCACCTGTCTTTCCTAGTATTTCAGGCTGACTAATGCGGGCTCCTCTTACGCAAACACGTCAGCTGGAGTCTGAAATATAGGATCAGCTCATTGATTCCTATGAAACCTGTGGCTCTGAACAGCAGCGGTCAATGATTAACTGATCTTCCAGGTGTAGTGGAAACTGAGACACTGAGATGTTGTCTCCTTCTCGTGCAGTTTGAACATTATAGTAGGATAGGTGATGTTTACATTATGTGCCTTCACCCTCAGTAGAAACAAGGGCTAGATGTGCTACATTTTAGTCATTATATTTGACTTTTTACAGCACTAATGTGGTTAATGCGTGCTATAACATGCCTAAATATTGATGTAATGCAGCCAGATTAAAGCTTAAGCAGCCGCCAGCCTTGTGCTTTGTTTATCTCCAACTGTAAATAAAAGATGTATGCTAATATATTGTTTTCTAAAAGTGTAGTTTGTCATTCACTTTGTGATAAAATGCCACAAATTTGTATTTAAAGGGGGGAAAAGGGCAATAAAGAATCTGCATGACAAGTCTGAGTGAGAAAATTTGATCATTTCCTGTAAAATATTCTCACATCTTGTCTTTTTTTTTTTTTCTTCCTGCAGATTGGGGCCCTGGAAGACCACTTCCTGTTCAAACACCGCAACCATCCTAGCAGAATGAAACGCAGCGCCAGCCACATCACCAGGCAGCTGTCGGAGGACGATCGGGTGAGTGGTGTCTTTTTTAAACTTGTCCTGGTCTGTGCAGAAGCATCTTGTCTCATTTTTAAAAAGAAACCAAACATCTTTATCTGTCTGTGTAGGTGCTGTGGGCTGAGCAGCAGTACGAGAAGCGGCGAAACAAGCGGGCGTCCCTCAGAGAGTGTAGGGACTGTCCAGTGGACAAGCTGTTTGATGATCCAATGTGGAACCAGCAGTGGTACCTGGTGAGTCTTGAACACAACATAGAAAAAAATACATGAGCTTTAACACGTTTTTCAGCAATCTATCAAGCTCATGGAACATATTAGAAATTTGATTGGGGTTAATATCCACCCTGCTGCTCATATGTTGTGTACTGTGGGTCTGGTTTGGCCTTCTGTTTGCATGCAGCCGGTTTGTCCTCCCCCGAGACGTTAAACACTAAAGCCCTGCGAGTGCTGGACAGCTCCACATGCTCACTGCTCCGTCCTCACTGAAGACCGTTTAGTGAATGAGTGCAAAAATGTGCACACAACAGTGCATCACCAAGGTTGTGCACCTGCATGTATGCGTGCATAAATGCTGCTATCATGGCTGCAAAAAACAAACAGCTACTCTTCCATAACCACTGTCACATGACAACATGACAACAATGAAACAATAGCATGCTATCAAGCAGTTCTAGCCAAAAGAGCCATTTGCTTAATTGGTTATAGAGTCCCTTGTGGAGATGAGAGGGGTGGAGAGACTATAATCCAACAGGATGGAGTAGAGTGGAGCACCGTGCATTAAGTCCCAATTTACCCTGAATCGGATGTTTTAGCCCATCGAGGCCAAGTAGCAGCAGTAGATTGTCACAGCTGTGCATCCCCTTCCAGATCCATTACCGACACGTTCACTTTACCCTGATCTGACCCCGACATCTTTACTGATCTTGATTTTTTAAGCTTTGAATGAACTCATTGACCACAGCACATACATGCAGAATATAATTGTGGTTGAACACAGAGTAGGTCCCTGCACCTACCAAAGCAAATTCAGTCACCAAATAAATTAAAGACTTCCATTGATCACTATGTTAACCAATTAATGCTGATGATTTCCTCAGTTTAAATGATTGAGTGTTTAATCATTTTGATTAAACAGAAGCAGCTTATCTTCACAAATGAACTGTGTTTGGCATTTTTGCTTAAAACGTGACTTTGCTGATTAATTTTCTGTTAGCTGATTAACCAAGTTGCTATTTTAGCTTCAAAGGCTACATTTAAATTCAGATCATGCAATATAATGTGTTGGGAATGTAATATTTAACAAACAGAACTAACATGTAAATGTATGTGATTTAGTTGTAAATCAGGCAAATGTAAAACAAAAACAAAAAAAACAAAACCTTTAAAAAAAAAAGGGGGGGGACTTATATTACCCCTGAAACAGAAATCGCAGTGTGTTCACCATGAGCTGTTAAGTCGCAGGAAACACATATGATCTCTGTTGTTGGCGAAATCAATTCATATCACTTGGATTAAAAGGTTAATAAGGTCATCGGTAACAAAAGTAATCACATTCTGCGAAGTAAAGCAAACAAAATAAGAACTAAAAAAGTGAGGAAGTGGATGTAAATGTGTGTGGTATCAGTGTTTTGTGTGTGCTTTAGAGGGAGAGAGAGAGAGAGAGAGAGAAATAAAGACAGAGTCGTATTACGCTCGCTCAGCCTCGGCTTCTTTGCACCTGCACTAACCGAACATGAGTCACACGCTTGTGGGGAATAAGAAAACAAATTGAGATGAATCATTTTTGCCGATGAGGGATGATGACACTAATGGAATTGGCCTTAAAGTGCCGCTTAGTGTATTTCCACATCAGCCCATGTCTGTGTCACTGCATGGGCCACGCTATAGTTCATCTGAAGCATCCTGGTTTATCCTCCTCTCCATTCAGCGAGGACAAAATGCAGAGATAGGTAATACACGGGAAAAGAAACAAGGTCTTAGGTGTCACCTTTTTACATCAGTCGCTGTGGTGAAATGCTTTTCTTTTTTTTTTTTTTACCGCTAGTATTTGTGAACAAGGGCACAGATATGATGATAAGCAAGGAGTAAATAATGCAGAGACTGAAAAGCGATAAAGGATTGCAGTGTGTACGCGATGTAAAGAGATGCGACTGTTACAAGGCGGTGACGTTGGCAAGGCTAATGACTGCTGATACTGGACTTGGGGTGGAGCTGTGTGACGGGGGCAGAGCTGGGCCTAGGAACTGGATGAATGTCTTTATCTACAACGAGTGGGTGACTGCCTGAATTTATTCAGGGAGTGACTCATGCTTGTAGCTTGAAATTCCTCCTGCCTGCATGACTCTATACCCTGTACTCTGTACTCTGTACTCTGTACTCTGTACTCTGTGTGTGTGTGTGTGTGTGCGCGCGCGCATCCATGGCTGTACAAGTATCCGTCTGTGTTAATTGTGCATCGAGGGATCTCTTTGTGTCCACTCACTCATTTATACATGCAGTCAGTGCTGAGAGACTCGCTGCTGCTGCTGTTTGTTTGCTGTGTACCATAAAAATCAATGCATGGCAGGTCACTGAGAGCCCCCTCAGCTGCTTTCAACATCAACAAGTGAATCATTTGGTGCTACACCAAAACTAGCAAACTGTAGATATGAGCTGGCTGGGCGTAAAAGCATCTCTGGCAAATTGCTATTAAAGCACATTGTGTAAAAGTGTGACATCTGTTGTGCATTTATATTCAGATTTGTGTTCTATTCAGCTAGAGCTGATACTGTCCAAAGAGAAAGAGAGGTGCAATAACTGAGAGGATGGGATGAAAACAGGGAACAAGAGTGGAAGCAAGGAGGGGGGAAAAAAAGGCAATACATCACAGGGATGAGTCACGTCTTGGGGTGGCGTTCTGCAGTGTCTGTGCATAATGCACAAAGAGCGAAAGAGCGAAAGAGCGGAGTTCTTTTTTTAGTCTTAGCTGTCTCCAGCTCTGAATCATACTCTTCCCAAGGCAGGCATCGGCCCCGCTCACTCGCCTCACTCCCCGCTGATTTTCCTTTTAAAACAGGCTTGGCGCACCCCAGACCATGTAATATTATATAGCCTCAGAGATGGATTTCTAAATAATCCGACAGGAGGATTGAATGTGAGTCAAGCCAGAAAAAGTGTGGCTGGGAACATGGCACGTCTCCAGGCACTGTAAGGCATCCTGAGAGTTAAATTAATCGGTAGAGTTGCCGTGTTGGACAACACAAAAGCCTGAATTGTCGTGACCTTCTGGTAGCAATCTACCTGCAAGTGGCCATACAGTAGGAGTGGAGTCAAGCCCTGACAAAGACAAACAGTCCGGTAATGAATTTCTATAAAGGTCAAACCAGCAGACTCAGTAAACTAGAGGACAATACTTTGACTGACCCTTTTAACACGACACTTTCCCTGCCTGTTTAGATGAAGTGGTCAGAGATAATTTGACACACAGTATGGTTTTAAACTACAGATGTGTTTTTTTTTGTTGTTGTTGTTCTTGTTGTTGTCCTCCAGCAAGACACACGGACGTCATCGTCGCTGCCGAAGCTCGACCTCCATGTGATCCCCGTGTGGCAGAAAGGCATCACCGGGAAAGGAGTGGTCATCACCGTGCTCGATGACGGGCTGGAGTGGAACCACACAGACATCTACTCCAACTACGTAAGATACCGTTTCCATGGAGACAGCCTCCGTCGTCTGGGCCTGCGGTTGTCATAGCAACACTACTGGTGACACCTTACAAGGAGATCCATAAAGACAGTAATAAATCTTCTATATGATAAAGCACGTCTGTCAGGAGCTGAATGGTTTTTAATTTTCTAAACGGAAAATTGTTCTCTAACGACCACTGTGACGAAAACGACTGCACTCCTTGCGTTTAGGGGAGATGCAGGATTTGTAAATATATCTCATTCCTCTGATAATGTTTTGACAGTCTGAAAGGAGATGCAGATAATTATAGGGAGCGCGACTGAATTGGAGCTCGACGAGGTTTCATTTTGGCACAGTTTCTCTTGTTGAGAGGAATTCTAAAAGCCTGCAAAAGCCCCATCTGTGGTGTGGTTTCAAACAGCGCTGTTGCTCTCAGAAGTCAGCCACCACCGCCTCACCAGAGCGAAAGAACGAAAGAGAAGAGAGAGCGACTGGGGGAGGGAAGAGGAGAAATAATGTGTGACAACAGGGCTGATGGAAACAACTCCCACTGTAATTAAGTTAACGCTGATTAATCAAAGAGGATCAATCAACCGAGACGCTCATCCTCAACAATCAAGGCATACGAGAGGCGTTCATTTGCATAACTTAACAGGAGTAATTCTGAAATGACAGTGACAGGCATCTGATTTAAATGGTTATGAAATCTCTTACTGTGCACCAGAAACCGAAGTTAAATAGCTCCTTTTGATTTTTTCTATTTAAGAAGAACATAAATTGTATATTTTATTATGTCTTTTAGTGCAGGGCATTGATGGGAAGGACATGAACAGAGCACAGTGTAGTGACATAAACAATGCAGTTTGTCAACCCATGACACAACCCTGAGGCAAAAACAGCATTTTCCAAGCAAGTCCCAGTGTTTCAGCAGATAGCTGTTGACAAGCACTCCTTCATCCTCAGAGTTCTTCAGCATGTGCGGTTTCACTATCCGGTCACATCAGTCTCTTCTCTCAACACCAACCGTATGTGTCACCATGACAGCAGGCCGGCCCTGACAAATCTGCGTTTCTAGCCTTAGTCAGTGACAGCCATTGACGTCATCGCAGCTTTTCAAAAAAAGACTGAACAGTTTTCTTTTATTATTTTCTATAGGATGCAGCAGCAAGCTACGATTTCAACGACAATGACCCAGACCCCTTCCCCAGATATGACTCCACCAATGAAAACAAGTAAGTCAACTGAGAACATTATCTGACTTTGTTATAAAAATTGATTTCAAACAGTTTTATTAAACATAATATTTCTTTGCTAACATTAGAGAACTGTTTCATAAAGCAGCGTGGTTGCATTGTGCCACCAGTTGCAACGATAAAGAAGTCTGGATAGTAAAATTCATTAACGATAAAAAGATTACATTCTGCACATCACTGGACTCAGTTTAAAATCAAGTTTCTTTCCTTGGTAACACATCAATAGTGTTGCAGGGTGGGACTTACTTTATCAATATTTTTCTTTACAATCAGTGTCTGGATGGAACATGTTTGGTTGAATTATTTCAATTTTACAACTTGCAGGAACGGTAAAGGTAAATTTGATACACAGAGGTGCATTTTTATGGGTTGAATCGACAACCGGAGACGGATTTTAAAGATCCACTCTCTGCTACCTGCCGCACAGCAACCCTGCGCTCCTTTGTTGTCAGGATACTCCGCAGTTCAAAGCCTCCTTGATGAATAATTGCAGAGCCAATCAACCAGGGAACATCCACATTAAAATGATACAGATGACCCTGTCACCGCAATCATTATTTTCTGCTCTAAAACATGAAATGAGATGAGATGACTTATGTAACTAAACGAGATAGTGGCCTCTTGTAATGAGTTATACATTAACGGTTACCTTACCTTACCTTAATGGTTCCACATAACCATTAAGGAAACAGTGCAAGGAATTTTCTGCCAACTGCAGCATGTTTTGTTTGTTTTTTTACAATTAAATGTGTCATATCTTCTCAGGCATGGTACTAGGTGTGCTGGGGAGATAGCTATGCAGGCGGACAACAACAAATGTGGGGTTGGAGTGGCCTACAATTCCAAGGTTGGAGGTAAGAGCTCTGTTTTTATCTATGAGTTCACTATATTACATCGCACTTTATGTTTTGTAAATTGTACTCATATACTTGTCATTGTAACTACTGTAGACATTGAAGGGATTCAAAAATAAATAAATCAGTTTATGTGTTGAAAACCCAAAAAATAGAGGCATGAATTCTGAAAGCCTTTGTTTTAGTCAAATAAGCATGGCTCTCAGGACACTAAGAGCATTTATCAAGCGCAAGGTTCTAAACACAAAACCTCTGGCCGCACGTCCAGGGATTTTTGTTTATTTTAAGCGTGTAGGCAAGAAAGATTTCCTGATGGAGACCTGATTTTGACACCAGATGATTGCATAATGTCACTCTCCAAAATTACTGATCTCCTCCCCAACTGAACAATGATTTACATGTTCGGGGTGCAACAGGGATTTTTTTTTATTTCTCTCTTTCTTTGCTACCACCAGAAGTTGCCAGTAAATGCAGAATAACTGAGCTTTAACATCCCCTTCTCTCTCTGCTCAGGGATTCGTATGCTGGATGGGATTGTGACCGATGCCATCGAGGCGAGCTCCATCGGGTTCAACCCCGACCACGTGGACATCTACAGTGCCAGCTGGGGACCCAACGACGATGGCAAGACGGTGGAGGGCCCTGGTCGTCTGGCCCAGAAGGCTTTTGAATACGGTATTCAGAAGGTAAATTATAAGACTGGGGGAGTTTTTACTCACATTCAGTTGGTGCGATTAGTCTGAGGGTTCCTAATGGGAGCTTTTATCTGCTGCAGTGATGGGAATCAGATAGAACGGAATCAATAAGGACCATGCGGTTAGCTGATAAGAATAAAGCTTCTAATGACAAAATGCCATCAGTTGTTAGCAAAGATTTGCATTGGGCAGTGTTTATTTAACGTCAGATTGTGCCTGCTTTGAAACATAAAATCGATAAAAACGTCTGTGCTTCATACATAGAATAATTACACCCCGTACCTCTAAATAATTTATTACACTCTTACATTTTCCTTCTCTAAATTTCTATATAAAATCATGACCGTGATAGAATACATTTTATACTGTCCATTACATAGAATATATATGTTGTGCAAGCTGCAGGGCTGCATCTGACAACAACACATCTGTTTTTCCTTTTCCTCTGTCGTGCCTTCTGCAGGGCCGCGGTGGGAAAGGCTCTATCTTTGTTTGGGCATCAGGTAATGGCGGCCGCCAGGGCGATAACTGTGACTGCGATGGATACACAGACAGCATCTACACAATCTCAATCAGCAGCGCCTCCCAGCAGGGTTTGTCCCCGTGGTACGCTGAGAAGTGCTCCTCCACTCTGGCTACAGCGTACAGCAGCGGAGACTACACTGACCAGAGGATTGTAAGCATCCGTTTAGGTTGTGTTGTGCCACGTCATGGTAGTTTTGCTCAGTGGGCATGTCACATTTTAATCTATGAATTTCTTTGTGTTTCTATTCTTTGCTTGTTTTCAGACGAGTGCTGATCTGCATAACGAGTGCACTCAGACACACACTGGAACGTCGGCTTCTGCCCCACTGGCTGCTGGAATATTTGCCCTGGCTCTGGAGCAGAAGTATGCACCTTGAGCTCTTGTTGCTCACACAGTCTAAAAACATTACATGATTTAGTATAAGTTAGAATAGATCTATGTCCTGTGACTGACTAATCTGCATCTCTGTCCGTCTTACGTCAGTCCTGATCTTACGTGGAGAGACTTGCAGCACATTGTGGTCTGGACGTCAGAGTTCGATCCTTTGGCCAATAATCCAGGCTGGAAGAGAAATGGAGCAGGACTGATGGTCAACAGCCGCTTTGGCTTCGGTCTTCTCAATGCCAAAGCCCTGGTGGACCTCGCCGACCCGGCCACTTGGAAGCACGTGCCAGAAAAGAAGCAGTGCATCGTCAGGGATGATTCTTTCCAGCCGAGGTACGTGAGGATTCTGCAGCAGCTGCTTATATTTGATAACTGCACAATACACATGTTTGAGACACAATGTAACACTATTACTAAACCCAGCTGTAGTCTACACAACATTCTTATAATGTGTCTGAATTTAGAGATGTATAAAGAGGGAGAGCTTTATTCTCTCTTGTCCCGACATTTTGGGTCCAACAAAGCAAACCAATAAAACCATCTGCGTTATTAAAGACGCATCTGTTGGTTTTCGAGTGGAGTCATGACAATATCAAGTCTTAAGCCTGGCGGGGCTATCTGGGCCATAAAAATGAATTAAAGTGTTTTTTGAATTGCAACAGCTGCGATCGTTTAAATTTGATGTCAATCATGAACTATGAGCACTTTGATAATTACTAATTAGTAAATAGTGGGATTAAATATCCAAATCCTAAATCTGCCAACCATGGACAGAAACTGAGAGGAATCATTCCCCCTTTTCTGGCGTCTCACCAGATGTTTCGGTTCCATTCATTATCTGGATTAACACCCCAAGAAAACCCTCAAGAGCAAGCTAAGCTGCTGTGCCATGTCCTTGAAACTTTTGATATCACGTTGTACCGTCAACAGCTGTTCAGGTCAGCTGAGCTCTGTGTTCTTTTAAGTGTCCCTTCTGCAGTTTGTGGTGGATTATGGGACTCAATAGCACCGACACCCAGTTTCCCCATTACCTTGCTACATCCGTGTTTAATCCCGAGGATTTGGCTCTACATTTCCGTCAATGCTTAGAGGTCTACAACCCCCTCCAGCTTTATGCCAGCTTGAACATGGAAATCCTTTCACTCATGTCTGGGAGAGATGGGGATTAGCTGTTTTTGCAAATGAATACCGAAGGTTTCCAAATCTGCATATGCACATATATGGTCGGGATGGTCAATGAGCAAACTTTGCAGTGATATGTTAAAGTTTGCAGGTACAGCAGCGTTATGTCCTCTTACCAGACCTGACTGCAATAATGAGAACATATCAAGGCACATATGATAGACTTCTGTTGTCATGGGGAGCTGTTTGTGTCTCATTCACTGCTATTCTGATGCATCCCACAGGGAGCTGAAAGCAGCAGGGGAGATCACTATAGAGATTCCAACCAAAGCCTGTGCGGGGCAGGAGAACGCCGTCCGCTCATTGGAGCACGTGCAGGTGGAGGCCAGCATCGAATACACCAGGAGAGGGGACCTGCACATCACACTCACTTCCCCAGCCGGTTAGAGACATGCACACAAACACACATAAACACATGTGCGCAAAAAAAATATAAACAAAGCTCTCAAATAATCCACCCCTTTGGATTTTCCCTCAGGCACCAGTACGGTGCTGCTGGCCGAGCGAGAGAGGGACACGTCCGCTAATGGCTTCAGAAACTGGGACTTCATGTCCGTCCATACGTGGGGAGAAGATCCTGCTGGTACATGGACCCTGAAGATCACAGATACTGTGAGTTGCACTTGAGTCTGTGGTGATAAAACACCATTTCTCAGCTGTTAGTTTAACATTTCTACATGCATTCCAAACATAAATTCTACTGTTAGATACTAAAAGCAGTAAAGAACAGATAAAGTAAGCAGCAAAGTGTGCTATAAATGGTGCAGAAATTTTTATTGAAAGTGGATAGCCTGCTATTGTGACTAAAATTGACTGGTTTGTGTAATTGCTAAGCTTTTTCCGTTTCAGTATCGAGTGTAACATTTCATTTTTATGTGCAATCTGTCACTTTTATGTACAAGATAGTCAATGTAGAGAGCAATATGTCATTTTTCAGGGGAAGTTATTTCGATTTCATCACCTCAATATCATTGCAAGCATTACTTTTTACTTTTCTATTCTAGTATTATTTTATCCCGCTTATTTTATTTTTATGAATGTATCATAGTCATATCGTATTGCTTTTCTACTAGGCACTGCCTTTATTTTCATGTTATGTCATTTTGTTTTTTTCTGAACAATATCTGGCACAAGAATTTCCTACAGACTCAAAAAAAAGTCTTATCTCATCTTCATCTTGACGTCAAACCGACTTTATTCCCCTTTTACAGTCGGGCCGTATGGAGAACGAGGGACGGATTCTGAACTGGAAGTTGATTCTCCACGGAACGTCAGAGAAGCCAGAGCACATGAAGAAACCTCGGGTGTACATTCCTTACAACGCTGTGCAGAACGACCGCCGTGGTGTAGAACATATGGATGACATGATGGAGGTGAGTACAAATCTAGCCTCATTTGAAACAGCGGGTGAACGCCTCAAAATCAACCAGTGGTTTGGATGTTAGAAGGAAGAAAGGGATGATTGAGAGTATTGGGCCTTTAACAACAAGGGCTTAATGTAGCAACACTGAACTTGCTCTTGATAGCACAAAATGAAACTACCTGAGGTGATGCAAAAGTGACAGAGGGGACACATTCAACATAAAAGGGTAAGCTATCAAGAATCCTGAATAGTATCTTATACTCATTGTGACTCCCAGTGGCCCCTAATCACACTAACTTCAAATCAAATGCTGCAGATATGATAAATGGACGAACAAAAACATGACAGGATCGTTGTTTGGGTCTGCAGCAAATTTACTACCCAGTGTTTCCCCTGCAAATGCAAATTATGTCAGAGTTTTGTGATAAGACCATGCAGACACTGTGAGGCTGCGCTCGGAGATAACTGCATGCATAGGGTGCTAATACAAGCAATAACAACGTTAAAATGCTGATGTTTAGCCAGTGCATTGTTCACCTGAGTTCAAGCTGCTATTTGGTCATAAAACAAAGTACATTTTTTTAATCTAATGATGAACGTCGGCAGCAAATATCGTGACAATCCATCCAGCAATCTGTGAAACACATTACAACACAAATGTGAACCTTATGGTGCTTCTAAAAAATAAAGACAGAGGACAACAAAAAGATTAGGATTTATCCGCTCGGTACCATCAATGTCTATCCAGAATTTAGTGGAAATCCCTACTTGTTGTTGAAGCACTAACAGACCAACAGACGGATCGACTCTGGCACTCTGGACAGAGAGATAAACAAGACAAACAAAAAAACATATATACTAGAGTAAATTTCTTAAAAATGAGATTATTGATAAATATGATGGAGTTCAGTTTAAGTAAGTCCACTTCTTCACTTTCTTGTCAAGAATCAGATGTGATGATAGATACTGCTCTTATATATGCTTGCAGCCACTGAGCGTAGCAAAGCTTAAAGCCTGGAATCGAAAGGAACAGCTGGGCTGGCTACGTCTGCTGTCGCTACCTGACTAATGCAAATCTGAATAAATAAATGGATAAAATATATGCTAACGCACTGCAGCATTTCGTGCAAAAAAAAGAATCAGCAAAATGTTATACGATTTAGGATTGTATTTTAGTGTGTTTTTAATCCACATTTGCCATTTCTAGCCAAACAATTTTGTAAAAGTGGGAGAGTATTGTGGAGGACCATGTTTAGTTTGGACCCGCTGTTGTGCTTTCCTGCCCATGTACTTGAAGACTGCACTGATTTAATGAAACTGTAATCCCAACATGGTACATAATTTATCTTAGCATCAAATAAAACACCACACGATGCTGTTGTTCATCTTCGGATGCACGCTCTGGATGGTTTTTGTCTCACAGCAGCCTTCGTTGACCAATGTGTCCTGTCTGTTTGTGTCGTGGTGCAGGAGTCAACACAGGCTCATCCACCTCAGAAGACTGCACCTGCACAAGCCTCCTCTACTTCCAATCCAGAGAAGGAGCCCCAAAAGCCCTCAAACTCCCCCTTCTCCCCCTCTCTGGCCCTGCTGCGTCTCCTGCAGACGGCCTTCAACCGGCAGACCCCGTCCCTGCAGCAGCCCCAGACCCTCACCAGGGCCTCCTCCGCCTGGAGGAAGCAGCAGCAGCAGCAGTCGGGCCAGAGCCTCCCAGCCGCCGCTACGAGACTCCCGCCTCAGAAGCTGTACCAGGCTCTGGACATGATCAACAAGTACCGGGGCGCCGAGGACAGCGTCTACAGCGACTACAGCGACGGCTTCTACAGCACCAAGCCGTACAGGCACAGAGACGACCGACTGCTGCAGGCCCTGTTTGACATGCTCGATGACGATCGCAAGTGAAAGGAGCCGAGAGGAGATCCCAGAGGAAGAGATGAAGCGTGGTGTCGGATTGGGAGCAGAGGAACAAGGCGAAGAAGAGGAAAGCGAAGGAATGACACTGGGCACAAGAGAAGAAACACTGAAAAGAGAACTCTTCCCCTCAGTTTTTCCCCCAAAATGCTGCATATCTGATCGATTTACTTTCATTTGCCAATCACTGTTTTTTAATTGATTTTTCATTCCTTTTGTTTGTTTTTTTTTAGTCATGCAAAAATTCAAAATGCAATTCAAAACATGAACTTATTTAGAGCCTCTCTGCTATTAACTATGTGGTGAAAGTATAAAAGCATTTAAATTAGAATAAAAGGGAGGGTGGGGGTTGATGGTGGCCTTGTCTCTCTTCTCTACTGCCTGCTCGAGCATGTCACCTTTAGAAGATAAGTTTTGTATTGGTATCTATATATTATCTATATATTATAGAGAGACAATGATTGTAATATGGTTTTGACAACACTTTACATCTCAAATCTCCACTTTCTAATTTAGAAAATCACATTTCTATTCCTATTTTGACATTTCTCATGTCCTGCATAGCTTTTGTCAGAATGTTTCACTCTATAATAAGACACTTACTCACTTTGTTCACCATAGAGGACAAACTGATCTGGATAAAAAAAAAAAAGAATGAATTAAGTTATATTTGAAATTTGACAAAATTCTAAATGAATTCGCTGTTTGAAAAGTTTAAATGTGCTGACAAAAAATATATAAATATATATATATATATTCTCAGGGTGTCAACAAAGCTCAAGAGTAACCAAGTTGTTTTCTGGACTCTTTAAAGTATTAAGAGAAATATATTTAATGTGAAAGATTATTTACTATATAAGTATGCAGATGAGACAATACAGATGTACCAACTATGAAAAACTAAGAGAAAATCCAAAAAAAATCCTTGACCATGTTATTAAATGACACAAAGAGCACCGGAAAATCCTTCAGTTGAGAAAATGACATATTAATCTTCTTGTGCAATTTGTTTCATTTTGTATAAGTACAATGCTGCATTAAATGAAATATTTTTCTAAGGATCCTCGTAGCTTATGAAATAATATATACAGTATCATACCCTCTTGACAATTTATTTTTCTTGCGGCACAGTTCACTCAATAACCGCGGAGTTAGTGTGGTTGTCATAACTACAAATGAACACTGCCAAAATCTCAAAGCATCTCTGTAGTCAGTGATTGTGCAAATGACTGAAATGTTGTTTATTTTTTAACATGCTCCAACTACAAACAGTTCTATGAAGATGGATTTTTTTTGCATCAATATTTGCAACTGAACCACTTCTCTGGTGTTATTTATTCGGTATTAATGGTTTGCTGACCAGACGTTCTGTAGAATAGGGGCTCTGCACTGCTACCTTCAAGCACATTCATGTTAAACGCCTTAATATCTGCTGTAACAAATGTGCATACTTATATCAGTGTGGTGTAGATCTATTTACAGATGCTAGTGTATGTGTTTATGACATGAACTGCTTTGAAGCCTCTAATGCATAGTCTCTGTTCTGCAGCTTGGAACCACCTGCCCCTCTTCTCTGCCAACAAGGTGTCAGGAAAAAAAGATACAGTTTGGAGAAAAAAAAAAAAAACGCTTTACGTGCACCCTGTAATTTATCCATTCTTTAGAGTAGCCTGTGCTGTTTTCTTTATGTTTTTGACTGACACTTCAGTCCAAAGTTGTTTACACAAACCAATATTATGTTGCAATTTCTGTATGGATGTACAAAAAAAAAAAATTATGAGATTTATCGTAATAAACTGCAAAGTGACCTCTTGAGTCTGTTTGAGTCTAAACAGGGATGCTTTGACTTCACGCTAATGTAACACATTAGATAAATGACAATGCAGTACTAAGAGAAAAATCCAATTGATCTCAAAATGTTTGCATCCACATTAATATGCATAAAATTGCATTTTGTCAAGCAAGACAAGCAGCTGCTGCAAATCAATTAGAGAGTGGACTTTTGATTTTACAAATGGATTTTCATTCTCTTCTGAAGCTTAAAGTGAAAGTCCGTGTTCTACCTAATGGATGTAAGTGGTACAGACAGTTGATAGCGCCGTGAAATAAACCATATATTTAGCCACGCTAATAGCAAGGCTCTATAAATGGTATCCATCAGTCGGTCCACCGCTTTGGTAAAGACTGAAATATCTCAGCAACTATTAGAAGGATTAGTAGGCTACTAAATTTTGTACAGACATAATAATCTCCAGAGAAATAAATCCTCCCGAGTTGCAAAGATCCCTTGACCTGTCTTCTTGCAACATCACGAGGTTCAGTTTAATTTCTCCACAATTATGGGATCAATTGCATCACAAATTGGTGCGAATATTCATGGTGCTAAGAGGCTGCATCTATAACTCTGGAGATGCACTTTTCATTGATTCTATTGCAATGAAGCCAGAATTTTTCTGTGTTTACTACTTTTATTTATGGTCAACTACCTGCAAATAACTGACACTCCCATTAGTCTCAGCTATTAAATGTTGAGGGTTATTTTATTGCAAATAAAATGTGTTTTCAGCAGCAGGGAAAAGCTTAACATCTTAGATTGTGTTATTATTTCGCATTGCTCCCTGTTTTAAAACAATTCATCAAATACTGAGCTCCTAGCTTTAATACTGGGGCTACATTTTTTACATTTTTCTATATATTGGTTATGACTATGAGTTTTAGTTTTATAATACTGCTTCTATGTTGCAACAGATGGCACTTGTCGGAAACTAATTCATTTTGCCTTTGCATTACAATTAATTTAACAAAGTCTTATTTGGTTTAACTGGCGACCTGTCCAGGGTGTCCCCTGCCTTCGCCCTAAGTCGGCTGGGATAGACTCCAACACCCCCGCGACCCTAATGAGGATTAAGCGGTGTATAGAAAATGGATGGATGGATTATTTGGTTTAGCAATTTCTCGATGTAGAGACCAGAGGTAAAGATACTTGTCTACCTTTATGCGATGCCCAGGGTATAGTGAAGACATAAAAACAGAGAACATATTGTAAATAATTTGCTGCAGTGTTCTCAAACCTCGCAGTGAAAACTTCACAAAGTAAGGAAATCTTTTTTTTTTTTTAAAGGTCTGAAACAAGCTAAGATTTTACTCTTTTAGGGTTTGAATTGTCAAAGATTTCTTCAGTGCGTTGTATATATATCTATCATGCTGATAAATATCATAAACATCACATATTTACTCATTGATTTGTACAGGCGTGATAATGGATGCCTTGAAAAATGTGCAGTGCATCAGTTTACGTGTAATACCTCAGACTGCAGACTCCTGATCATAATACAATCCTTCAGATGCATCAAAATGAATGTTTTTTATTCCACATGAGACTGACAGTTACTCACGTATGGTGATAATTATCACCCTTTAAATGGGCTATTTTGTCATTTTGTGTTTCCTTCTGACATGCAGCAGCTTCTGTTTTTATTTCCTATTGAATTTCACCACCTTGTGGACAAAAATGGTGCAACACTCTGCTGACATGGACTGAGGCCTGCTTTTTTGTACCTTACATGCGCCATATGTCTGTGGACTTCCTATTTTTTCTCAGTAACGCAACATTATGAAGCACTCCAAGATGCATGAGCTCATATTTTCTGTGCAGAAAACGATGTTGAGGAAAATACGAGCATTTAGAGATGTTCTATTTTGAGTACGATGAACTGTGAGTTTGGACTTCCAGCATGAGCGGAGCAAAAGAATGGTGTTCTTTCAACAGTATCTGTATAATTTTAATGTTATTCTTTCTCTGTTTGTGTCCTATTCTCTGCTTCTTAACTCCTCCCATCTATTCCCCACACATCTGGTTGCTTTGGTTTTCCTCCAAAAGTGAATACTGCAAAAGCCTGAGAGGGAATGTGAGACTGGGGGAGTGGGAAACAAGGCATGTGAAGAAAAGGGAGTGGAAAATAATATAAAAAGCTACGAGAGAAGAAGAGAAGGAAGGGGGAAAGGTAAGAAAATAATCACTGACGGAAAACTGCGAGTTATGCAGCACATTTCCAGGAAGAGACAAGAGTGAGCAATAGAGAAGCACAGTGAAAGGCAAAAAATAGTGTCCACAGAAAAAGGTCTGCGTGTTTATCCACCAGCAGGTCACAGTATGGCACTGTTCCCGTTCTGCAAGACGCCCACAGGTTAGTACAATCTCCACGGCCACTGCTCCACCTCTTGCGCTCGTGGTAACATCTGGTTCTTTTCCCCTCACTTGTCACTGGTGTGTGACGGCTGCATTCGTACATGCTAAAGCTCAGTTGCTTTTAAGCCAAGGAGATTTGGATTAAGCCAGACAGAATGAAATGCAAACATCAAAGCTTTGCCATGGTTTTCTCAGAGGTGAACAATCTGATCCTGAAAATATGTCTAGGAAGGCAAAATAAGTCCTTGATTAATTCAAGAACTTTTGTTTTGCATTTGTCCTAATCCTCTTGGCTGATAGAAGAACACACGGGGTTCATCTCACGCAATTCTGCGTAACAACCAGTCTCTCTTCATAAATGTGTGACACCTATCAGCTCAGTCGGCCTTCTGGTATACTTATCTTCAGCATCACATGCACAGTTGAGGATGACATGCTTTTGCTATGTTTCATTTAACTGTTATTGCAGTTTATTCATGTCTTTTCATTGAAATTCCTCAAAATCTGAACAGGACTTTGTGGTAGTTATGATGCATAGACAGTAAAACGGGGAAAACAGAAGATATCTAGATGTGTATTCTTATTATTTCTATGAGCTCTAGGTGTTTTATTTGTCACGTTTTAAGGAGACATTTGCACATATTTATGTAGTTGTATAGCAACTATAAGTTTCATTAAATGATGTGTGCATCTCTGTTTGTCCTCCACACAGGGCCAGTCAGAACATCCAGAAGACAGCTCGTCTTGTGCTGTTTCCTCCTGTCTCTTATCATATGTAAGTGCACAGAAGAATCTGTTCTACTCCAAACACTTTATGTCAGGACACTACATGCACAGAGCATGTACAGCAGAACTTTGTGGTGTTGTGACTAAGTTGTGTACTAAGCAATGAAAACGGTCTCACTTGTGAAACATGTAAATATCAGTAACAGTATCTTCTCTAAAGATCAGTGTGATCAGTTAGATTAAAGTGTGTGATTTTCCTTTTTTACAAAAGTGCACCTCACAAAAAGTATCTTTTCTTTAAACAGTTTTGGTGTTGAAATTGGGAACCACATTTTGCCTCCTCAGATTTCCTTAATGGACGTAAAGTTGCTGTCAGAGTCGATTCAGCTCATCCTATCTTTCACGCCTTTGGAATGGAAAGGGGAAGAATAATGACAGACATGACGGCGGTCAAGCCAGCAGAGCCACAAACCCCTGTGGAGACACCATGGGGGGCTCCTTTAGTGTGGGGCGACACCCGCAACTCGGCGCGGCGCAGGGCTAAATTCGCGCAACGGGAAATCCGTATAGGTCTGTTGGCCCTCGTGGTGGGAACTTATGCCCAGTTCATCCAACGTTTCCTCTCTTCAGCAGAAACCAACTTCCTCCCCGGTCAGATGGTCACCTATTACATTCTCACAGACAATCCCCGTTCTTTTGATCCCCCCATGGAGCTGGGGGCCGACCGAGAGATGAGGGTGCTCCCTGTTACAGAGCTGCCTGGGTGGCAGAGGTTGGCTCAACGGCGGATGGTCCTGCTCGCTGATGCCATCAGGGACCCAATCGGCGATGAAGTCGAGTACATCTTCTGCGCTGACATCGACCAGGAGTTTCTGGCTCCTGTGGGAGAGGAGATCCTGGGAGACCTGGTGGCTACACTGCACCCTGAACTCTACGGGATGCCACGAAATGCATTCCCTTATGAAGTTGAAGAAGTCTCATCAGCTTGCGTGGAAGAAGATGAGGGAGATTACTACTACACCTCGGAACTGTATGGCGGGTTGGTAACTGAGGTGTACAAACTGGCTCGTGCCTGTTCTTTGCTTATTCTGCAGGACCAGTCTAACGGGGTAACAGCCAGGGGCCTCGAGGAGAGCTACCTGAACCGCTATCTGATCGACTACAGGCCCACCTGTGTGCTGTCACCAGAGTACAGCTGGTGGGATTCGGCGCTGGCCGCTCACGTGTCGGTGGAGAGAATAGTCTCCTGGGGAAGGCAGTGTGAGGCTTATGATAAGCAAAAGAGAGAGGAGCACAGATGTTGAGTTAATGTAAAATGAGGGACAGTTCTGCTCAGCAAACTCATTTAAGTATGGATATAGATCCAACTCCTGCATGAAGGACAACTGTTTCTAGTCTATTTGCTTTTGAGAGGGTCACGCTTCAGCAAATATTGTTATGGCAGGATGGGGGGAAAAAAGAGAAAGCACATTTTGCTGTCTTGCTCATTAAATTCTAAATTTTCTCTCCAGTTAGTCAACAAATGCAGCCTACAATCACGCAGAAGCACACTAACAATCTGCACTGAATTAAAGATCCATTTGTGTGAAGAGTGCGTCTCGGTGCGCCTGCTATCTCTTCCACAGCAGACAAAAAAAAGAAATTGACCTGTCTCTTTAAACAAAGCACTGTCCTCTCCATTAATGTCAGCTTCAGAGATACTGCTCCAGTGGCTTTGTGGTCAGCAGCGATAAGAGTAAACAGTGTAAGTGCACACTTTCCCCACAGTGGCCAATCATTAACTGGAAGAGCTGCTGTTTCAAGGTTTTTAAAGACCAGGTGGGTGAAAATGGACCCAGTGGGATGCTGTCTTTTCCTTGTGTCTAAAAGTCTGAGCTTCAGCAGGAGTTAAAACTGTTTTAGAATGCTTCAGGATGTATTGAATTGTATTGCAGACTGTTGTCACGAGTCGAAGTAAAAGGTGAAATCAAACGACGTGACGGTGGTGGTTGTGTTGTCTGTGAGTTTGCCTCCCTCTCTCCCACACATACAAACATGCTCCCACATTCACACTTTGCATTTTCTTCCTCGTGCGGTGTGTTTTAATGGGAGGGTTAAACAGCAGCAGATGGTTTTTTTCTCACTGCCAACAGAATCTGTCCTCGGGGCCGGATCGCCACGTGGAGCGAAGTTGGACGTGCACTTCAAATAATCCTATGAAACACATTTTCAGTTGTGACTTGCAGTTTTTTTTGTTTTTGTTAGACTAACATAGGAATACAATAACAATTTCCCAAAACCAAAGATTAGTCTAAAACATCTTTGTGAAACTCGCTTCTTCTATCGCTTTGTTAAAAATGCCTCTGTCACCTATGTGTACCTTCATTCTATTAGTCTAATCCTTGCTGAGTATCCTTTTTCCGGTCATAAGCAAAGCAGTTTAAAGAATTATTTGTTTAATCCATGTCATGTGGTTTACTGGTGCTCAGGGACCCTATGAGCAGACAAAGAGGCAGCACAGAAATCCTGAACATGTAAAGATTTACATACAACTCTCTTTTAATCAATGTCTCAAATCTTCATGTGTTGAAAGCTAAATCTGTTGTGAGGACTAAAGCGAACAAAGGCGAAGAGATTACGTGAAATTGTAATGCAAAGTAGGGTTCATCTGCATATTTCTCCTGAGGTATGTTTAAGTGTTTGGTCCTCGGGTATGTTTAAGTGTTTAAACAAATGTAGAATGACCTCTGAAAAACAGGCATTTAAAGGTTGTCTGAGGCTCACATTTCCTCAGCCTTACTTGATCCTACTTGATCCAGTTTTCAGGCAGTTATCCCTACAGTGACATTGATGAGTGACTTAAGTTTGTATGTTTGTAAAGGATGAAGTGATTGTTGCTGTAAATATGTCCTGTATATTATAAAGTGATTAACATGGGAACAATGTCCATATGGACACAAAAACACAATTCATAATATTACAAGGATTTTGTATCTACATGCACAGATTTGCAAAATCATTTACATCCCCATTTAAACCAAGAGTTTAATATTACGAGTTTAATTCTCCAGCTATGCAAACATCTACTATTGGTTTCGTATCTGTTACATGTATCCCACATCCTGCTGCAAAGACACTTGAATTAGTTTAAATAATAGCTCAATAGGCCAGGATGACTAACACAAAATTATGTCAGAAAGCTTCTCCATTTTCAGCTCACCTTTCAATGCATGACTGAGCTATAACTTGCGTTACATGCCCAGTCTTTATCTCTGCGACAAAAGTTGTTTGTGCAACTTCTTGGTGTACAGTTCCAACAAACCATTTATGGGCAACGTTGATAGAAAATGCAATAATTAGCCCCAAACATTAGCAATATCTTCATCAGTTCCTAAATAATCAATCCCAACACAAACAGCTGAACTAAGTTTGACAATAGACTGCAAAAAGTTTCTTATCTGTTCATTACAGCGGTTTTTCATTCACATTTTTCGCATTAAAAAATATCTTTGAATGTTTACACCGATGGTAAAGACAGGGCCCTGAAAAGATGTGAGTTGGTGTTCGCACTACTTGTTGGAATTTACTTCAGCATAACAAAAGATCACAGGAGGAGGATTAATCCAATTGTGGAAAAACAAAACAACACCTTAAATGTTTAATCAAGAAAACAGAGCAGAAGCATCTTTATCACTGTCACTGATTGCAGACTCGTAGCTCCAGTCAGTCAACACATACCTCTGATTAGCATCAGACCTGGAGGCTGGTCCAAATAACACCTCCATCAATGATTAACTTCTGTAGAATCACCAGCAAGACAGACATATATCCCTGGAATTACACAGAACTACAAAGAAAGAGTAATTCAGAAGCAAAAGCCATGCATGAGAAATAAGCAAACAACATCACAAAGGACCAATTAATTTAGCCACATTTTTAAAACTTTAAGCATTGTGTTCCCAGTAACACACTTAAGCCCTCTGTGTTTAATGTTTAGTCTGACAAGAAGGGCGTGTAATTTTAAAGCATTCTTCAGCTTCCATAAGATGACACCTTCTGGGCCTCCGCAAACACAGAAGCTCTAGAATCAATGAGTCCCATCCACCCTAAAGGCTTTATGGTATTGTTTGCATAGCAGGCAACCTGTCAGACCAACTAGGGGACCTCTGAAATTAAACAGACCCACCACCGAAGATTTGCATGTGTTTAGAACCCATAATACAAGAAACGTAATGCTTTGAAACAAAGCTGCCAAGCGGGCGGGGGTTGTTTTTCATTATTGTCAAGTGGATAAAGTGAAGTCATTAATGATAGCGGCACTGAATGATGTCTCAGAGTTTACATTTTGCAGATGCATTCATCGTCAAACTAACTGCATATATGTGTAGGTCGGTTTATTTTGAGAAATTAAAAGAACTAATTTGTGAATAGGTTAATGTGTAAGAAGTTTTTAAAAATATATGACATCTGTATGTGCATGTGGGTGGCTGTGTGTGTGTGTGTGTGTGTGTGCGTAACAAGTCAGGGGGATGGGTGGGGTGAAGAGCTACAGTAATCTGCTGGATTCACACAGGCCTTTCCCCACCCTGCCCGGGGCTACGCCACTAATCACCAGGTCAAGGGGACTGACACTGGGAGATAGTCCAGCTCACAGAGGGCAAACACTGGTGCCCATTGTGCTGATGTCATCTTATATGCCAAATCAATAAAGGAAGCTTGTAAAACAGAATTATATGGATTTGTATCACTTCAAAAGTAGGTGAACTAGTCTATCAGAGCAATAGGTCATTCACGTCGGAGTGCATATGCATGTGTGTGTGTGTTGTGGGTTCTTAACACATGCAAATTTTCAGTGGTGGGTCTGTTTAATTCCAGAGGTGCTCGAGTTGGTCTGACAGGTTGCCTGCTATGCAAACAACACCATAAAGCCTTTAGGGTGGATGGGAGACTCATTTATTCTTGAGCTTCTGTGTTTGTTTTATATATACATGCAAGAATAGCAACAAAAATGAAAAAAGCAATCCATTTAATCTAAAAAACAAAACCAACCAGGATCACAAGTTATGAGATTAAAGTTTAAAATAGAATACATTTAAAATACTAAAAAAAATGGACCATTTAGAATTACCAAAAGCTATTAAAAGCATGTACATCTTAAGATTTGTATTTTTTTTTTAATGCCAGTTTATTGTGAGAGGAAGGCTTTTCTACCACTGTGTATTCAAACATAATCAGATGTAGTGCCTCTACCGTCAACTTACTAAAGTAAATACAGTAGTTTTGTGGCAGATTTTCTAAAACATGCTAAAAGTTTTGGATCCAGAGATTGTAATAAAAATATCTAAATGTGTATATAAAACCCTCACTCCAATGCATCCCACACCTTATGTGCAATAAAGTGAGGTTGCACTGCAGTACAGTCTACAAACGCTACCTTTAACAGTTCCAGTGGGCCAGAATTAGTTCTACCATGTCAGCAAAACACAGCAGGCAGAGGCACTTTAGCCAAGAGTTAACTACATGTGTGTGAGTGTTAGAGAGGAGCTATAGGCTTACAAAGGGGAACTAGTGAGAACAAGTTTTTCTTCTACTAGGAGTTTAAAAGGCCAGACGTGACCATTTGCACGCTCAATGCACATAGTTGGAACTACTTCTTTAAGTGCAGTCACCTCGAAAACACGGTTGGTACCTGCGACAGTTGACTGTGGTTGGAAAGTGAAAAAGTAACAAGCTAGCAAGTCAAGACCAATCCAACCGTGAGCCCTGTAGGCAGCAGCAGCTGTAATCCCTCCCCGGAGCAGAGAGAGAGCACAGGGAGTCTGGGCTGCTAAATGCTCCAGCCTCAGAGGGACGATGGTGGAGGGCTGGTAAAGATGGCGGCACTCTCCGAGGATGGGAGGTACGGATTAAATTGTGGCCAACAGAGCGCAGACAGAGTCACCGTACTACACGTCAAATTGACCGAGACGGCGGTGAGAGCAATAGAGAGCTATCAGAACTGCACGGTGAGTGAAACGACCCGTTTATTTCGGTTAAAATCAGCCCGTCGCTGTCGAGCTGACACGGCTCGTCTCTGCTAGGAAGCCCGACCTGCCACGCACAGCTAAAGCTACAAAGTTAGCTAAGCTGTTGACAGAGCGACTTTCTGCTGGGGTTTTTTTTCGTTAAATTAGTCGTGTGCGAATAAATTAACCAAGCGCAGATGATACATGAGGCTTTGAGCGAAAGTTCTGGCCAGGTTTTACGAACTGACAAGTGTTATTTAACTTATAAAACCTGTTGGTTAAGTTAGACACTCTGATTAGCCGCTGCTAGCTTGAGCCCACTGTGCTGTGCTGTGCTGTGCTGGCCAACCAAGTCCATTTTTTTTTTCTAGCCAAACTAAACGTTACTTACCAAATTAGGAAAGTAGTCATTTCATATCGACGAATACATCCGTCACCAGACTTAATTTCACGAGTTGAGAGTTTTAACATTTAAGCTTAGTTTAACTTACATGAATTTTAATTAGGCTGTATTTATGACAGGGTGGAAAATGTTCAGATAAATGACGGATAATACAACTTCATTACAAGTTAGTGAGGTTTGAAGCGGCTCGCTGACTAGTCTGTTCACCATATGGGTACAAGTTTTTGGTTAGCTGGAAAACCTAACATCATAACCTGGCAGGGATTTAAAGCTCCTAGCCAGGATCACTGCTTTGTAGCTATTGAGCTTAATTATAACATGTTGCAGTCAGCCTAGCATCCACACTGGCCTCAGTGATGTACAAAATACATGAGCCAATACTTTAAGGGTACAAATATTTTATTACTGCTTGTTTGCCAAATTGCTTTTTCTTTTTTTGTGTGTGTGTTGCACATTTACATTAATTTGCATGAGAAGCGTAAACTAGCAGTTACTCACAGCTATAGTAAAATACACATATGCAGTCTGACATTTTGTGCAAAATACAATGTGTACTTTATAGGTACTACTCTGCCAAATGTACTGTATTTCACCCAAGAGCTTGACACCAGAGCTTTTGAAACAAGAGTTTGCTATAGGGCACTGCATACCTGTGCAGATTAAATATAACTTGGTAATCTTAGACTGCACAAATAGTGTAATCTTGTTGAGGGGAACACAGGTGATCTAATCTGGGGAAACCTGTGCAGTCTTTAGTTGCGGAGGCCTGACGCCAAGTTACCTGACCTTAACTCTGCCAACAACAACGCAGTTACATAACACACCGACTGGGCCTAGGTCCCCACTATGGGCCGATGTACTGTAGCTTAGCATGGGTGCTGCAGTGTTCAGAGGTCTCAGAGATTGCTTTTTATGGCACATAGTGTCTCTGTACGCTGCACACACCTCTGCATGTTTCGCAGTCGGCCCATGCAGTTTGACTAAATTGCCGAAAGTGTTCGAAACGTGGACATAAAGCACAATTTTAAGTGGTTATTTACCTAGTTTCTGACAACTGGCAGACTGCGTTATCACTAAGTTGAAGGAATTCTTTTGTGACAGCCCATGCTACAACCTTATTGGATGTGGTAATGTTGGTCTGTTCACTGCACTGAACGACAGTCTGCCATCTCTTGCTGACTGAGCAGCCAAAACTGCCTGCTTTTTGTTTCTCTCTCCCTCTCAGTAATGTGTGTTGTAGCTGAACCAGTCATCGAACTATGGAAGCTGGCTATCTTTGTCTTTCTGTGGTGATGTGAAATGTGATCAGAACTGTGTGTGTGTGAGTGGGGGAGGGAGTCTGTGGCTTGGAGTAGCTTAGCTTTAACAACCATGACATATTTCTTTTAGTCTGATTAAAAGTATACATTTTGTTTTTGAATATCTGCGTGTCTGTCAGGCATAACTTAGAAAGCGTGTTTAGCAATGTAGAAAAGTTGTCAAAAAACAAAACATTCCACTCAAACCAGTTGATGCAACATTTTAGAAGTCTAGCCAACTGGTTCTTCTGTGTTCTTAAGCTGTGTGAAGATGCTGGGAGTCCCGTGCTTTCCTATCCTAACCTCCTGCATACTGCTCCAGAGCAGCCACTGCATATTTGTGGCTGTCATCTCCATTTCAAGTAGACACCAACGCAAGCCTACACAAAACAAAGACGCTTTAGAAATATCCTGCTCAAATATCTGCCGTATTTGAGTGCTGTCCAAGTTCCACTGTTCATGTTAATGCAAATAATTTTACCTGCCACTTAAAAAGAAGATGCAGGTACAATTGATTCATATAATTTCTCAATAGATTCTGACATTCACATGCAACACATGTCAGATTATCAACTGGAGAGAAAAAAATAAGGGGAAAAAGAGCAGCAACTATTTTCAAAAAGCATTTGATAAGGTCATTTTTTTTAGTAAATAATGCTGAATGTTCCCAGGTTCAGGTGTCTGTTTGTTTCATGTGATTGCTGTAAATTCAGCATGTTTTACATTTTCAGACAAAACTAGCAACCTGACATTGTTTTCACCTTTTTTAAAGTTTTGACGTCCATTTTATGCTATTTTCTGATATTTTGTAGAGCACACTATCGGTTAATGCTGTTTAAAAATGCACAGTCACATGTAAAACAAGAAAGATTGCTGGGCTTTCTGCCGTGCAGATTCTTTGGTTTTTGTTTTTTGCATAATGAATACAGTTTCGGCTTAGTTATTTTCACTCGCGCAGGTAGAGACATGTACATGTGAGACATCAGCTAGCTGTCAGCTGCAATCTAACCACCGTGTTTAAGTGCAACTTTTCACATAACATGCTAGGTAAGTGTTTCAGCAGTCATCATTTATCTGCGTTCGTTCTGAGGTATGCTTATATAATAGAACCCTAAGGCTTTTCAGTTTCTAAAATCACATGTTTTGAGTACAAAAATGTCAGTTAAATAGTTTATTGTATCTTGCAGGTTCTGGACATTTGTTTTATTTGACTTTGTGTAGCAGGCCTATGTTACCCACCCATCTGGTATTACTCCCAAAATGATCCTTAAAATGCCCATGCAGCTGATCAGGAGTTAAAGTGTGTTGTTTCCTTTCTTTTACAGAATGTACCTTCTTTGCTGCCAACAATACAATTTAAGGGACTCCAAGGGGTAAGTACCTTTTTTCCCCAAATATGTCAAATATGTGATCACATCCCATATTGTGAACACCTAATGTAGAGTAAATACGAGTTCTTTTTTCAGGCTGTTAGTGGCCACTTTAAATTTGCATAAGCTAATGACCCATTATGTTTTTGATACCATGTG